TATGTGTGTGTGTGTGTGTGTCAGTATGTGTGTGTGTGTGTGTGTCAGTATGTGTGTGTGTGTGTGTGTGCGCGTGTGCGCGTAAATCAAACGGAGCACATAAGCTCTCAGGAGGATGGCACACAGAAATCAAAAGGCCGTGGTGATAGCGGTGGCATGATGGAGAAGCAGAGCCACGTGTGATGCTCAGTATTCATGAGTAATACATGTGGGAACAGGCGTGTGCACTCTGCTGACACGGGAGGCTCGGCCTCTCACCCTGAAGCCCCTACAGGTTACAGCACATCACGATAAAAATAAACACACTGTGGCTCTGACCCTGACAGGAAGAAGAACCGCTCCAACAGCCTCCACATTAAGGAGCTGGAAGCTCACAGATGCTGTACAGGTGCCCGTCTATTTTTCAAGTCCTGTTGACAAAAGCTTTCAGATGGCTGCTCTAATGCATAACACACGTTTCCTCAAGAGGAGGAGGAATGGTGAGGCTGGTTGACTGCATCCTAAAGGAATGATTGTTTCCTTGTGCTCCAAGTGTGTGTGTGCACACAGATGGGTTCTCCGAGGGTTCTCCATAAATGGTGACGAGGGACAACTGGTAGGTGAAGGTGCACGCTTTTTTAGATACAGATGACTGACTGGAAGGGGAAGTCAGACAAATGAGACCATGATGGTAATTTCTGGATGATCTCGTGTAAGGGGTTTCAACCTCTTACTTGGAGACGGTCTGCGCCACTTTTTCAGAGCTCAACTTGCCTTTAGTCACCACGCTAACACTTGCTAACGCTGTGTGTAACTAGCAAGCTGGCCATCAGACCTGGCTTCATGGTTTTAAAACAACCATCACAGAATAACCTTGCTCTTGACCTTGGGTGTTCTGAAAGGCACTTTTAAATAAAATGTATTATTACTATTATTATTAATAACCGATCATCGATCAGCAAATGGGAGACGGTCGCCATGGCGACAGCACATTTCTCTGATAACAGCATTTCTGTCCGACACAAACAGTGCTCTGAATGTTTCATATATGACCAAAATCCAGGTTCAAAAGTTCTTTTGACATTCTTTTCGACGACTTTGAGTCTCATCCTGTGTCCGCTAAAACCAATGTTTTCTGTTAATGCAGTAAAAGGGATGCCGTCTGAGCACCGTGCTGGTGTCATGGGTCAGGATGACTTGAGATATCTTGAATCTTTCGTTACTTCACTAGTTCAGTTTATACATTTGCTTTTTCAAATGATGCTGATTGCACAATAACTAAGGACAGCTATAATGTCAGTTGTATTTTATCAGGGTTATGAGGCCTGACCTGCGAGTCGGGGTTCACCACTTGACAAAGTCCCAGGATGGAGCATTGTTACCTTTATTGTCCAACCCAAGCACTGAATCAAACCCGACGTCCTTATCAACATAATCTATGAATATCACACTAGTTTCAGCTTAGTGTCCACAATGTGTCCTATTCACAGCCACAAAAGTCACTTCCTCTCTATTTCCAGTTCGCGTTTTCTTGAGTGGTGCAATAAATCTAAATCAGTCCGTGTTACAGTCCTTCTGTTCTTCCACCCAGAACCAGGAATCCCTAAACCAGAGAACATCAGCACTCTGGTCTGTCTCGCTCCACACTTCCCTGAAAACACCAGCTTCCTCAGACTGCTTACAAACCAGACGTCCTTTTACGTTTCCCACAACAGCCACACGTTGCATCTGAAGTCTGCCAGCGAAGGGCATTCCCTGCACATGAACAAAGACGCACACAGAAAGGCCTGTGGATCTAGAACTGTACATGTTCTATGAGGGCACAGCCCCTCATCTGTAGCTAAATGAATAGCTGTGTCAATAATTCACCACCTTAGCTCTACTTCCAGACTTATGTATTCACCCTGCAAAAAATAACTAAAACAGACAACATCCAAACATGGCAACAACACGGGAAATATCTACACAACAAGCCTCAGAGACTTTCAAACTTCAATAAAGCCTCATCTCTGTGGCGTTCAGAGCATCCGTTCAAGTATTTGCTCGAATATCTCACTGAAGACCTGATCTGCACGGTGCTGAGAGCCCCACTGAGCCTTCCCACTGCAAACAGGGTTTTTTTTACTCACGTGGCCTACATTTATTATGTGTCAAACTATTTAGTGAACTGCCCAAGGCTTTGACTCGTTCAAGTTGCTCTTAAAATCATTTAATATCAACTAATGATATGGGTCAGGACTTAATTGGTCACAGATGCATTCTTTCTATGATGCACCATCACGATGTGGCATCCATCAGTGGTTTGAAATGCTGCAACAACAACCTACTCAAGTCCTCCGTCTGAAGACGAGGTCTTTTAAATTTGGTTTCTCTTGAGCCCAGAAAGAGTGGAGTTCATGGGAAACATTGTTAAAGTTGGACAAAAACCCACAAGTATGTACAAAACAAAGCTGTTAAAACTCATAACAAGCTTTTCTTTACACTAGGGCAGGGGTCGGCAACCTGTTCCCATCAAAGAGCCATTATTACCCGTTTCCTACAGTAAAGAAAACACTGGGAGCCACAGCAGCTGCGGCGTTGTGGGCGGGGCCTACCCGTGTCAGCGTGTACTACATAAGGTCCACAGCGAGCTGAAGATGTGGAGAGGGGCTTGGAGCGCGTCGCAGAACCAGAGCGCATGCGGGAAGATTCCTCCGACTGAAGCGAGACTTATCACTTAGAAAATGTTCCCTGATTATGAAACTTTGGCTGAATAGCGCTTGTTCCTGTCTCCAATGTGGCGACACATCCAGGAGCCGTCTGAGGAGAATCCCAGAATCTCATCCTCTTCTGCTCAGGAAGCGCCTATGATTACGCACAAGCGTGACCCATCAACCCGGTCTCACAGTAAGACCGGGTTGGACCTGTTCAGGTTTACGCAGACAATCTTTACATTTAGAATTAGCTTACAGATGTAAAATTAATGCAGGAAAATATAAAGCATTTTATTTAAATATCCATTCATTATTTTACAAGCACAGAGAGCCGCATCAGATGGACGGAAGAGCCGCATGCGGCTCCAGAGCCGCGGGTTGCCGACCCCCTTTTTTTTTGACCACACTTAAATGTTTCAGATCAGCAGACACATTTCAACATCAGAGATCATCTGAGGACAAATAAAGTGCCTTCATGATTTCCTTCATTAAGAAGAAAAGCCTATACAAACCTACCTGAAATGTAAAAGACATTCAAGTTAAAAACAGATTAAATCTTTGGTGTCAGCCCTACTGTGATTAGCCGTTAGCTCGTCATAACCAAACTGTATTTTTCCAAAGTCGGGCAGTTCAAAGAGCTATCCACAGCAGGAAAGAGCATAAATGTTCATAAAACTTCCACCAAACGTAACTTCTAAAGGACCCGAACTATCCTTTAAAGCAAACATGACAACGGATCAAAGTAAAAGTGGTTTGTTGTCACATAAATGTACTGGAGTTTCAATTAGCTCACAGAAAATTAGCATTTTCACCTAAAACGCTTAAAATGATCAACAGCAAATTTGTTGTTGTAGACCAAAAGATGAAACAGCAGTTGTAGGACGTACAGATGATGCCTCTAATCAGAGCTGTGACCTTTTTCAGGTCAGACACACCTGGGAAACTCCCACCGCCGTCTAAAATGCTGTCCGACCAGCCCACGTGACTGTCACACTCTCACTGTGTGATTACAAATGAGCTTTTGTGTAATCTGCGTTCTGAAAAGGTGCCATACGTTTGCCGTTTCCAACAAACCAGCAGAGTTGCTGCCGATCTCCTCGTCTGTAAACTTAAGAGGCTGAAAACTCCCACGCACCATAAACAACAATACCATTACATCTTGGAAAATGGTTTTGGGATGATTGTGCTTCTGCAGGACCAAATTTGTGCTCAAACTCTGAAAAACCAGCTGACATCAGGCCATGTCAGCTGACTGTGGCTGCCATCTTAAATTGGATTGACTTTGAAGTTTTATCAGAGTGGTTTGAGCTATTTTGCAGAGAGAGGTAAAAACCTTCCAGTTCTAGTAATTATTTGTATTATTTTAATAATAAAGTGTGATAGGGTCAGACACGATGACGTCCAGTTTCTATAGATTTAGTTTAAATGATAGCACTCAGGTGAGCTGAAGCTCGAACCCAAGGATTAGGGTTCATACCTGTGGAGTTCGTGGCTTGTAGGGCGAGCTGCTCTCCAGGTCGGCCAAGATGCTGGTGAGGGAGTCGATCTCTGCATCCAGACTGGAGCGCCTCTCTTCCAGGGTCTTCTCAGGTCCCTTCATCTGTGAGAAAACACCCAACTTCAGAGAGAATCAACAACTCTCTGTACACATGAATAAACTCCTCCTGGTCTCTGCTTCCTTTAAATGTTTGAGAAAAGTTAAAACCTCAGAGTGAAACAGTCTGTGTCTAATGGATGGAGGTCTGCTGGAATGTTCTCCTGTTTATTTTGTTGAGGTTGCAACGTCTCTGTATTTGTATAAATGTGCGGTTTTGTATAAAACGCGTTCTAACTGAAACCTCAACTTCTCTGTGGGGGGGTGGATTATGAGACAGGGCAGGTGGAGCGGCTTTGTTTTGGGGTTAAGTGGTGGAAAACTGGATGCTCTCCCTGCTGGATCATGTTGCAGCAGACTCGGGTCTTGAGGGGTGTTATGAGTCAGACCCACTCCTGTTCATGTCAGCTGCTGTGCTTCTCATAAGCTGCTAGAACTGCTCAAAACCAATTTATTAAGTATAAAATTTCAAATACATTTGAGGGTGAACATTCTTAATATGGGCCTGCAGAGTGGAGCAGTGGTTAGCCGTTTCCTTGAAGCAGGAAGTCTTGGGTTCTACTCCCTACCTGGGGTCTTTCTGCATGGAGTTTGCATGTTCTCCCTGTGAATGCGTAGGTTCTCTCCAGGTTCTCCGGATTCCTCCCACAGTCCAAAAACGTGACAGTTAGGTTAACTGGGCTTTCTGAATTGTCCCTAGGTGTGAGTGTGTGAGCTTGGTTGTTTGTGCCGTGCGTCTCTGTGTTGCCCTGCGATGGACTGGCAATCTGTCCCCGGCTGCATGCCCAGAGACAGCTGGAGACAGGCACCAGCCCCCCGCGACCCCGTGAGAACAAGCGGGTCAAGACAATGGATGGATGGATGGATGGATGGATGGATATCCTTCATATGTTCCAGTCAGTATTTAGCATTGTTCCTGCTGTGTACCAGAAGCAGTGGGGTGTGGGTGGCGTGGCGTGGCGGTTGTGAGCTAGAGATGGTTAAACTGCTTTCACGAGCTGCTTTTTGAAGTTTTGTCGGATCGTCAATAACGAGTAGCTCTGCCTCTGCTGCTCAAAGACATTCTCTCCTCCTTTTTTCTGCACATCTTAAACGTCAGATTACAGTCTTCTAAGTTCACATTTCACTTTGACCTCAGACAATCCTTTTCAAAGCTGCACATCAATGGGGCCGACTTCTCCAAGAGAGAAATGCAGTGAGGAATGAGAAGCCATGTATTGTCTGAGGGGCTGCTTTCAGGGCACGGAGCGTCTCCCTGCTGTTGGGTCTAACGTCTCGTCCAGCCCGTCTCAGACAAAAACAGACCTTAAATGAAAGTTTGATATGTTTTAATTTCTCTTCTCATCCCGCTCAGTAAACCCTGGTGGCTGTGAGTTAACCCACATGATGAGAAAAGCACCACAACAGCGCACTGATTTATTAATATGCTTCTCTGTTTAGTCTGAGATGAAAAAAATCCACCTCGTCGTGTGAAAAGACAAAATACTCAAACAAAACAGACAAAAATAAAAACAGAACACAGCAACAGAGGGACCGGGAAAACATTTCAATTGACATGACCATTAGTGGCAGGCTTTTCTACAGAATTCCCGGGAATTTCTCCGTGAAACGACAGATGTATTTTTAGTCCTCTGAACTGTGCTGCAACTGCAAGAAGACTTCTTGCAATTGCCTGCGGGGGCTTTTTGAGTTGGTTGGATCAATGACTGCTTCTTATTCTAATGTTATGTGTTTGGATTACCTGTCACATTCTATTACAGGAAGGGCTTGGCTCCATTTGCTGCTCCTTAAAAACATCTGAGGTGATCGCGAAGGAGGGGTAAACAAAGCAACACACTAATGGCTTCAACAAAGTGAAGGGAAAAAAGAACAGCCAGACTAGTTTACCAGTGAAAACGAGGATGATGAAAGGAAATCTTTGTGGTGTGTAGGAATTTGCCGTGTAGCGCTTCGTAATGTGGACAACAGCCAGGATGAAGGATTCCTCTTCTTCTCCTCTCTGATAAAGACTCAGCCTTTATACATGTCACAAGGCAGACATCTCTCTCCGCCTGACTGATAAGGTGCATATTTCTGCCTTCTCCTCACTTAAATATGTTTAATCTCTGCTTTCAGCTGGGAGGATTTCTCCTCTGAAGCCAAGAGAAAAGACATTATGATTGATATCTGTCCCTTTTTCTCAGCAGTGTCAAACAATTTAAGAGCTGTGGCTACAGGGCATATAATTAAGATACCAGTGGTGGATTAATGAATCCCTCCAAAGGAACGATAAGTCTCCCATCGAGACCTCTTTAACCAAAATCACATTTTAGACAAATGTGGAAAAATTTGAAACATGTAAACTTCAAGAAAATTACAGGTTTTTTCAATCTATCCATCTGCATGCACTTCTGCTTCCAGTCGGTAACAAGATGGCGCCTGTGCTTGGCTTAGCCGCAGTCACCGGCCACTTTTTCAAACTTTTCTCCACTAACCTCCTCTTTTCCACCTTGCTCCTGTCTGCGATCCTCTTCAGTAGTGTCCCTGCTACCATCTCCTATGATGGCCAGACTCTTTTGTCCTTCTGTTTGTTCACGATCGCCCAAGATGCACCGAGGACGTACCTCCCTGTTTGTTTATCTGAGTGGCGCACTGGCCCGGGGCCAAACGACGACCCAGGGCGCCTCCAGCGATGTTTATCTGGTCCCGGGAAAACGTCAGAGGAAAAGAGGTAAACAAGCAGGAATCCAGGTGAGAATAAGACTTCTCTTAAAGCGTGGTTTATCTGGTAAACATCGGCGTGATCTTCTAGCTTCTTGTCCATTATTTGGCGACTTGAGCGCCACTTCCGCATTCCTGCCAGGCCGCGTTGCGGAGCGGTTTCTCCGTACAAGTTTTTTAAGGTCGGTTTATCCTCATTCCTCAGTGGTTTCTCCTCCTGTTCCCTCCATAAGTGGTTTTTATAAACACCGTGGATCTAACCCTGCTAATTTACGTCCACTAACTCCAGCTGTTTCTGTAGTTTCTGATTCCTCCACCTCACTCAGCATGGCTCTATTAAATACCCGCTCTGTTAACAATAAGACCTTCCTGCTCAATGATCTAATTCTGTCTAAAAACCTGGATTTTCTGTTTCTGACTGAAGTTTGGCAGCAAACATCTGATTATTCTGGTCTGATTGAACTCTGCCCGAGTGGTTATTCTTTTCTTAGCCAGCCCCGGGGTTCTGGTCGTGGTGGAGGCCTAGCTGTTGTTTTCAGAGACCATCTTCCATGTAGCTCTACGACCTCTGGTCACTTTGCTTCCTTTGAACTGCAGCTGATTAAAGTCGGGCGTAAAGACCTGTTCTACTGTGCTGTGGTCTATCGTCCACCTGGTCCAAACGGTTCTTTCCTTCAGGAGTTTAGTGACTTTCTATCCTCCACTGTGAAGCTGTCCAGACTGGTGATTGTTGGTGACTTTAACATCCACGTTGATGATCCCTCCGATCTCTTTGCCATGAATTTCTCCAGCCTTATGGACTCCTTCAGCTTTACCCAGCATGTTTCTGGACCCACACACACCAGGGGGCACACTAGACCTTGTTTTTACCCTGAGTCTAAATGCTGACAGTGCCTGTCCTGAGGATGTTTACATTTCAGATCACCATTGCATTTTATTTAACTTGTCAGTTTCTGCGTCCCCACCTCCTGCTCGCCATATGGTTAGCTCTCGTTTTCTTAATGAGAGCACAGCTAGCAATTTTTCAGCTGCTTTTGATCCACCCTGTTCTTCTGATTACGACCCAGACTCCTTAACTTCTCAGTTTAACGGGCACTGCCTCTCCATTCTGGGCAACATCTGTCCTGTCAGAACCAGATCAGTTCCTGCAGTGAACCCTACTCCCTGGTTTAATGACAGCCTTTGCAGCCTGAAGCGCCAATGCAGAAACATTGAGCGTTTGTGGAAGGAAACCCATCTCCACGTCATCTGCTATACCTAAAGGATCTTCTGACATCCTTTAACTCTGCAGTCAGAGACACTAGGGCAGGGGTCGGCAACCTGTTCCCATCAAAGAGCCATTATTACCCGTTTCACACAGTAAAGAAAACACTGGGAGCTACAGCAGCCGCGGCGTTGTGGGCGGGGCCTACCCTCAGACAGCAGAGAGCTGCTTTAACCAATCACAACAGGTGACAGCAGCCAGTACCGGTCGCTCGTGTACATCAAAGTTATCTTTCATAAGACGATAATCAATAAAACGATTTATATAAAGTGGATCCAGAAGTTGTAGCCCGTCTCTGCTACAATATTTTGATATTTTTCACCCTGTTGGTGGTTTTACTGAGCAGGTGCCACTTTTGTCATACGTTTCTTTTTAAAACATGTTTAGACTGTTCAGAATACAAATCCAGGCTCTGTCACGTTTGATTGTTGTAATTAAACTTTGTAGGTGGGGAAGGTCAGAAAAGGATCCGATCATTTTGTTTTTCCCTCATTTACAGTGACGGAGATAACGGCGCAGTGCGCCTGGCTCTGGTGTTAATCAAGTTAAATTATAACTCTTTGCAACAATTTTCACAAGAAAACAGAACAGTTAAAAGCAGGGCTTGTGTTGACCAGACAGTTCCCGTATTTGACCGTTTATTTTGACGGAGAAAGAATAGAAAGAATTACCCCGACGCATGCAGACGAACTGACATTTTATTCTACGCACATCGCAGATGTAGCTAAATCACTCAAGAAAAGATTCCCATCTGAACATCTGAGCGGGACACTGCTCAGCGCAGCTCGCTGTCAGCGCGTACATACGGTCCACAGCGAGCTGAAGATGTGGAGAGGGGCTTGGAGCGCGTCGCAGAACCAGAGCGCATGCGGGAAGATTCCTCCGACTGAAGCGAGTCTTGTCACTTAGAAAATGTTCCCTGATTATGAAACTTTGGCTGAATAGCGCTTGTTCCTGTCTCCAATGTGGCGACACATCCAGGAGCCGTCTGAGGAGAATCCCAGAATCTCACATCCTCTTCAGCTCAGAAAGCGCCTATGAT